TCGTGTTTAAAGGTTAAAAGTTTATGATTTTACGCTTATAGATCACCAAAACGTTTCTACCTAGAATCACGCTTTAACTGTATTGGTTAGAACACCACAAATCCCAACAAAATTAAGATTTCCGAAGATAATCAAATGATCTCCAACAACACAACAGCTGTGACTAGAATGAGGTTAATTCTTTTGTTGTGAAAATTATTTTTATAGGGTTAAGTTTAGTCTTTAAATTTGCTTCGCATAAAATATTAAAAAAGAAGCGCCCGTTGATGATGAGACAATGGAGTTAATGATGAAGATTCTTGATGGTGATGAAATGTTATCAGTCATTTTGGAATACCTATAATACTGTGTCATTAAGTTTATTATGAGTTGATATTCCCTTCCATGAGTCCTATCGTTTTAACTTCAACTAGAATCAGCATATATAGAAGACAATAATTACAATGTAATAATACGTATGATGGATGCTCATTTTCTATTTTCTCAATGGCAAAAACTAAAAACTATATTGGTATTTTTTAAAATTGATAGAATTTTTTTATAATCATGACAAAAATATAAAAAAGAGAATATCACTAGAATTTAAACTTGGAGCATTTGTTATCGACGATTATCGATCATATTTTAACCGGCCAACGGGCCGGGTCACAATCTAGTACACCTCACACAATTTTACAATACAAAATGGTCGAGATTAGGGGTGCTCTAAAAAATATTTATTTATTTATTATTTGACTATTCATTACAAGTTTAAAAAATAAAAAATATTTAATTTGCTACCCAAAACGAGCAGTTTTTCAATTTTACCAAACTTTAGATGATCATAACTTTGTGCTCCGTAATTCGATTGCCTCAAATTTTGTTTTGATTTTTGCATAAATTTCCCAGCGCCACAACTTTGACTAGGAATTTTTTTTTAAAATAGGATTTTTTTTTTGGATATAAAGGGTTTTGGGAATAAATTGAATTTTAATTTTCACATTTCCACATGCATTCTTAAAATATTTATATGAAAAACGTTGTAGTTCTCGAAACGTTATCTGAAATAAAAAAAACACTATGATCGGATAACTAAGTATAAAGTTAATGTTATTGGAAATTTTTGAACGTAGTGGATCGAGTCTCTCAACCTTGATCGACTACCTCGGAAAGTGGATCCGCCCTTTCTGACTCGACCTGGATCAATCCCATTAGTGGTTCGAGTCACTCTAACTCGAACCACCCCAAACATATGTATTTTGGATTTTTTGACAATTGCTGCAATTAGAAATTTATTTATTTATTAGGGCTAATACCACTAGGAAACCCGAACTATTAACTTTGTGTCATTTGTGTCCTAAAGTATTCGATACGACATTTGTGTCCTAAACTATTTTTCCGTTAGAGTTGACTAGCTTTGACCGTTAGTTTTTAACAGAAAGCTTAGTCAGCGCTGATGTGGCATCTGATGTGGAATTTTATTTTTTATTATTTTTCCATAAAAAATGAATAAACTAATAAAAGCAAATTAAAAAATAGAAATAAAAAAAATAAAAACTCAAGCTTCCCTCTCCTCCTCCGCATCTGCAGACCGACTCTTCAACTCCCCATGCCCAAAAACCTAGTTCATCCTCGGCAAGCTCCTCCCCGTCGGATCTGCCCCGCTGCATCGATATCCCACCCCCAATTCTTCTTCTTCGCAACCACCTGCTGCCGCTGCATCGCTCTCCCACCCCCCAATTCTTCTTCTTTCCAACCACCCGCCTCCGCTGGAACAATCTCCAACCCCCAATTCTTCTTCGCAACGAAGGCGGCGGTTGAACCGGTTCCGAGGCCGAGGACCATGCCGGATTTAAAGTAATCGACAGCTTTATCAGCGGCGAGCTTCTTGAGATCGTCTTGGGTGAGAGCAGGGGCGGATTGGGCTTTGATTGGGAATGGTTTGTGGGATCTGTGGAAGGAAAGGGTCGGGCAGTGGGCATGGAATATAGAAGAGGAGGCGGCGGCGGCGACGGCGGCGGGAGAGGAGGAGCTGACTGCGGGCGGGGAAATCATGGATAAGGAAGCCATTGGAGGAGACGGAATGATAGAAGAACAGAGAGAATTGAAAGAGGAAATGTGAATGAAAGGTTGAGGGGTCGTCTTCTTTCCCTTCTATGGATTCCTTATCGGCCTATCTGAGTTTCAATGGCGTTACAGAGTTTGGTTCGGATTTGTGGGGTTGGCTGAGACGCGGACTGGTGAGGAAAGGAGGAAACCGACGGGCTTCTGGGTTCTTGGTGGGTTCTTGCTTTGGTTATTTTTTGTTTTTTCAATTTTCAGTATTTATTTAATTGTTCGAATTGATTGCTTGGGTGAGTTTTTTTTTAATTTTTATTTTTTCAATTTTAGTATTTATTTAATTTTGAATTTTAAAAATATTAGGTGTCAGTGACATGTCATCTACGTGGCTGCCACGTGTTTGCCACGTCAGCAAAAGTCAACATCAAGTTGACCACCGTCTGGTCAACCGTTATATATAACGGTCAACAAAATCGTTAGGACATAAATGACACAAAACTATAATAGTTTAGGACACAAATGTCGTATCGAATACTTTAGGACACAAATGACACAAAGTTAATAGTTCGGGTTTTCCAGTGGTATTAGCCCTATTTATTATTGTTGTAAGTATGGACATCTCTTGAAAAAATCCCAAAATACACATATTTAAAAAAAATTCCCAAAATACGCACGTTTTATGAAAATTCCCAATCTACACATGTTTGGCATCACTGCGCCCGTCAACCTTAGTGAATGCATTCAGCGCGGCAGACGAAAGCGGTGAATGCCTGACCTAACACTGTATCTTCAAACGAACTTAACTTTGCGCTTTGTTATCCTATTGTAGTTTTTTTTATTACACATGACTTTTCAAGATCTTTCAATCTTCAACAAGCCTTCAACCAAAAAAAAAAAATGTCGTTTGCTACCCCAAATGAGCAATTTTTCGATTTTGACTAACTTTGGAAGACCTTTACTTTGTGCTCCACAATCTGAATGTCATGAAATATTTTTTTTTATTTCGCATAACTTTTGAAGGAATACAGCTTTCATCATAACCATAATTTTGGAATGTATATGAATTTGGGAAAAGTAAAGGCAAAGTTATTCCCAAAATCCCATATATCCAAAAAAAAAAATTTTAATTCTTCCCTACAATAAGAAAAACTTTATGACGTTCGGATTGAAAAGCAAAAAGTTATGGCCTTCCAAAGTTTGGCAAATCAAAAAATTGCTCATTTGCGGCATTTATTTTTTTGGGATGAATGCTTGTTGAATATTGAAAGATCTTGAAAAGTTATGCGGAATAAAAAAAAATCGCTACAATCGGATAATACCTCAAAGTTACGTTCGTTTGAATTAAGTTTTAGTGTTAGGTCAGGCATTTACCGTGACCGTCAACTAGGGGTGTACTTGGGTCGGGTGGTCCGGGTTTAGGCATTTTAATCACCCGACCCATGCACTACGGTTTGGGAAATACTAAACCCAAATCCACCCAAAAAAATCTAAACCCTATGGTTTGTTTCTAATTGGGTTGGGTCGAGTTGGCGATATTTTTAAGTAAAAACCCAACCCAACACAAAATATGTAATTGTTCTACATCATAAAAATATTTTATAACAAATTAAAAATTCAAACGAATAAACCGAGGTGAAAGGTATTAAAATTCACATATATTGTTTGAATTTTAATAAAACTTGATTTACTTCAACTTATGTCTAGTTTTTTTCACGACATTTGTTGAAATAGGCTAAAAAGGTTACAAATGAACGCATCCATAATATGATATTCTTTTTAAATTGTACACAAGAAAATAAATACGTGAATCATAGCTATATTAAATATATGTCTAAACTTTAAGTCGAAGAATGCATTAGATTAGAAAGACTTTAAGAGAAAAAGATGGCGAAATATCTTAATTTTCTCATAAGTATGACTATATACGACATAAATATTTTTTTGGATACGAACTCATACCAATAATTGGAACACGGGTTGGGTCGGGTTCTACGGGTTGTGTAATCCAAAATCCAAACCCAACCCAAAAGAGGCGGGTTGTACAAAAGAAAACCCTCACCCAACCCAAAACCTTCGATTTAGAGATAAATACGGGTGGGTTGGGTCGGGTTGGACGGGTGGGTCGGTTTGCGGGTGTGTTTGTTCACCCCTACCGTCAACTGCGCTCACTGCGGTTGACGATCGCAGTGATGCTCAACACATGTGTAGATTTGGAATTTTTCATAAAACGTGTGTATTTTAGAATTAAAAAAAAACATGTGTATTTTGGAATTTTTTCCGACATATCCTATTTATTCCGTAAGTGCTTAATAGATATATTGGATTTGTAGAGTCCTTCCAATAGCAATTGAGCACGTGGAATATGGGCAGCTTCAGCTACCAAAGGAGGACTGCACTGCTACCACAGTAAACAACACAAATAAAAACGTGCCCCTTTTTAGTTTTTGGTACCACCCACAATATAGCACATACTTAACTCAAAGTCCCTTCTTGTGTTCTTCATTTCATTTTGAACATACAAACTACTAAAACAAGGCAGACTATGCATTAAAACTTCAACGAGAGCAATAAAATGTCAAACAATAACTCTACAGCAGTAACACATTGTTGAAAATTTAAAGCACCATAATTAAACTTCGGATTCAATGTCAATTTATTGCGTAGTTAGAACTTAAAAGTTCTAACCGATCATGTAAAGTTGATGACAAAATCTCTTTCTCAATAATCTAGTCCGGCAATTGGATATTACTACGTACAAGTCAAAATAACGCTGTCAATAAAACTTGTTGTTACAAATATTTGGATTGAAACGATACCACACAATATAGCACATAGTCAAAATAATTCTATCATTTCAATATATTAACGCGATTTATATAAGAAAAATAAAAAATAAATAAAACCACTCTTTGTCAAAATCAACTGGTTTCTTTGTCAAGAAAATACACAAATAATCCGACATTTATGATATTGTATTTTAACGTTTAATTTACTTATTCAGCTCTTAAACCCTCTTCCCAGTTCTCAATCCTCGACTCCATTACTAAACCCTTCTTCGCCACGGAAAATTACCCACGCCAGTCTCTCCGCCGCTCTTCTCTGTCCTCTTCACCGTCCTTCTTCTTTTCTCAGAGTCTTCCTCCAAAAGAAGAAGAACTCAAAACAATGGCGGCGACTTTCACTCAGCCCCACGCCCACGGCCGCCTCTTCTCCACCTCCCCCGTCGCCAAACCCACAAGAAAGCTCCTTTCCCCCTTCACAGTCCGCATGTCCCTTCAAGAAAACGGCCCTTCCGTCGCCGTAGTTGGAGTCACCGGCGCAGTCGGACAGGAGTTCCTCTCCGTCCTCACGGATAGGGATTTCCCTTACCGCTCAATCAAAATGCTTGCTTCCAAGCGCTCCGCTGGGAAGCAGATGACTTTCGAGGGCAGGAACTACACGGTGGAGGAGCTGACCGCTGATAGCTTTGACGGGGTCGACATCGCCCTGTTCAGCGCCGGTGGGTCTATTAGCAAGCAGTTTGGGCCGGCGGCGGTGGAGAAGGGTACCATTGTGGTGGATAACAGCTCCGCGTTTAGGATGGTGGATGGGGTTCCTTTGGTGATTCCTGAGGTCAATCCCCAGGCAATGCATGGGATTAAGGTTGGGATGGGGAAAGGGGCTTTGATTGCTAACCCCAATTGCTCTACCATTATTTGTTTGATGGCTGCCACTCCGTTGCATCAGCGTGCCAAGGTGAGAAATTCATCTTCTGTTCTGTCAAGTTAAGAGTTTCAGACTGTGGGGGAATCTTCCATTTCTGATGGGTTTTTTTTTTTTTTTGTTTTGTTTTGTTTTGTTTGATCTATGCCAGTCTTTTGTGTGCCTTGCTTGAGTTTTTGTAAATATGAAATGAAGTGACCTGATCTCGGACTTGTAGCTCTGAGTTTGAGTGTTTGTAATTATGAATCGTTTCATGGGCATTTGGGTTGCAGGTGCTACGCATGGTTGTTAGTACATATCAGGCAGCCAGTGGTGCTGGTGCTGCTGCCATGGAAGAGCTTGAACTCCAGACTCGTGAGGTTTTCTTCTTTATCCTATTCATCCTTGTTTATATTGGTCCATGTTTTTATTCTTGACAATCTGCAATGTTCATTCAATACTCTACCGTCTTTTATGAACTTTGCTGCTTTCTTTGTCTTCTGTAAAGGTGTTGGAAGGAAAGCCGCCAACCTGTAACATATTTAGCCAACAGGTTTGTCCCTTTGGTGATGCATTATTATCCTATTTGTGCTCTTTCTTTATCGTGTTTTCTTGTTTTACAAGTGAAGCTGATGAAATGGTTTTTGCTGGATGCGTGCAGTATGCTTTTAATTTGTTTTCACATAATGCACCAGTTCAACCGAATGGATACAATGAAGAAGAAATGAAATTAGTAAAAGAGACCAGGAAAATCTGGGTAAGCTTTGGTCATTTAACTTTGTGGATTCTCCCATCTGGATTACCATATGATGGGTTACTTGGGAATTCCGGTTGGGAAACAGACCTGTTAATCTCCTGTTATTTCTGAACTTGTTTTACGTGTTTCTCTGGTCTAATGTATCTGTCTCTTCCTGTCTGTTTTGATATTTACAGAGCGACTTGGATGTGAAGGTCACTGCTACCTGTATAAGAGTCCCCGTCATGCGCGCACATGCTGAGAGTGTCAATCTCCAGTTCGAGAAGCCACTTGATGAGGTAAATATTTTCAAATTTCATCTATTTTAATATTTCGATTGGAACCCTTGTATAATAAACACATTAGTCGTGTTTCACTTTCTATGGTGTTTTGTTGTCTTGGTGAAGGTTCTCTCTAACATGGAGGTGCCTAACATCTTTTGTGGACATAGTAGCTGTGAATTCCTTTTCGTTCATGATTTCTCTACTAGTGCATACTTCAATTTGAAATTGTTAAAGTTTTCTCCTTCTCGGCCTGATTGCACTCTTGCCAGAATCAGGACAACTGACTTCTTGAGCCTTGCTGTATCAACCAGTGAGCTTCATTTTCTACTAGAGCTGTAGAAAGTTATGATCTACCAGCACACCTTGTCAACTTTTGTGCGAATTTCAATTTCTATTTGACTTGTTTTGTTTTTTTCTCGCCTTCCTCGTTGATTGTTAAAATTCTGTGGAAGTTGTAGAAGGGAACAGCTTGGTTCTGTTTCTCTTTTTGTTTACCCTAGCAAGTGCCTATTTATCAGTTGACATTCTGCAGTACGACTCTGGACTAGTTCCATTTGCGTATTCTGACGAAGTTGTGTTAATTCTTAATTTAGAAGAGCTGCTTATTTCAGTGAATGAAAGGATTTTTTAGTCCTTTTTTCCTCATGCATTATTATGGGAAAAGCACATTAGAAAAACAACTAATGACGTAGGGAATATGTCTTTCTCCTTCGCCATTTTATCTCACCATTTAGGTCAATTCTTTGTCCACTCTAGTTTGGAGAAACTCCCCTTTCTGTCAATAACCTGTGGTTACCAGTCAAATCCTGTACTTGAAATTTTCATTAATCAGTTTCCAGCACTTGGCCAGTTGTCTAACATCTCATATCTCATGATTTCATTCGTTGATATTACTGCTCCCGAATGTTACCTGTCAGTTTAGAATCGAGTCTGCAACCAGGTCATAAATTCACACCCAATCTCGTCTTCTCATGGTTTTTGCTCTAGCTCATCTGTTTTATCGCTACAGTGGCCATGTCGAAGGCAGCCTTTTCTTCTCTCTTTTACTTTTCTAGCCGGGAGGGGTCATCTTCCCTCACACTAACTGCATACTTATAAGAAGGACTAAGCTTCTCTTCCTAATGAGTTCAGCATCCCCATCGTGTATGGATCGTGTGTTTTTTCTTAACTAGGGAGATAGCCTATTGAATTGAAGAATGAACTTCATACTGCGTAGGAAGCTTCATTGATCCTAGCATTCCTTGGAATTACTCGTAACCATGTCTTAGTTATTTGAGAATCAAAGTGTTAGTAACTATTCATTTGGTTGGGTGTATTAACTTGCAATTGAACAATCTGTTGTTTTTCATTGACATTTCTTCATGTATATGAGTGCATTTGACGTGCAATCTCGAATACATCAAAACATTGCATTGCAGTTTCAAACACTAAGGACTATGAAGCATTTGAAATTACAGTTACAATTTTATGCAGATATGCATTGAACCGAACAATGTTTTTGAAATACATCAATTCACAAGTACGCTGTATCGAGCTTGCACACTGCCTACTGAAATAGGATAAGCGAACAACTTGCTTTTTGCAAAATGGATGTGAGAGGTCCTAACAAACCCAATTATGTTTTGGTACAGGATACAGCCAGGGAGATTCTGAAGAATGCAGCAGGTGTGGTGGTGATCGACGACCGTGCATCCAACCATTTCCCAACGCCCCTGGAAGTATCGAACAAAGACGACGTCGCAGTTGGCAGAATCCGGCAAGATCTGTCTCAAGAAGGGAATCACGGGTAAGAAACCTTGTAACTAACTGCTTTTCTGTTGTAGTAGGAGGTCATTCGTTGAAGTGCACAAGTCTTGTGATTTCTTTCTTTGCTCCCCGGGCCTCTGTAAGCAATTTATGGGTGGGTTTTGCAGGTTGGACATCTTCGTTTGTGGGGATCAAATACGTAAGGGAGCTGCCCTGAATGCCATTCAGATTGCAGAGATGCTGCTATAGTTTCTGCGAGAGTGGCTTCTGTTTTTCGCATTTACTTGAAGGCTTGTTTGCCACTTTGGTTGAGTTGTTGTTCTTCGATTGGTGAGGTATTCAAGTTGTGTAATATTACCGGCTCCGAAATCTTCCATTTTGTTTAGTTCTTTGGAACTGGTATCCAGGGATTATTAGTTCGTTGCTCATTGGTGTTTTATGAATATGATTTTAGTAGTAATGTTGTCTTAACTCTTAGCGAAAAAAATAACCTATCGACCTTGATTGAATGTAAGTTTAACCATATCGATTAAGATTTGGTTTGGTATGGTTAATTTGATTGTGATGCTTATTCGGTTTGATTAAGGTATTTTTTTATGATTAGTAAATTTGAGACTTCAAAAATTTGGTGAAAAGCATGATAACTCTTTGGAGGTGGCAATTCCAATTCAGTCTCATCCACAACCACATGAATATCAAACTAATCCAATTCATTTCATTGCTTGGACACCTATACACTCACAGCTGGTTCACTAACAAAAAAAAGGGGGGCATATGGACCTTCTGAGACAAGGCCCAGTGAGTACAGAATGCTCCACCGTTCACATGCTGGAAAATGGTAATGGAATTGCACTTTGCACTTTGCATCCACCCAACCCAACCTCATAGCACACATGGACCCAATTGTCTGAGGATTGTGCATCTATTGTAGAAATGGCGACGTAAAATACAAACCACGACACCATCTCAACTTTTGCTCAGTCTCCTCTCACTGTATCCATGTGTAGTAATCAATGAAGTTAGAGAAGAAGTGGGTTTCTTCCTTCCTTTCATCGCCATGTTTTTTTATAAAGCTACCTCCAAAGAACCGACCTTTACTCAACAACACAAGCCCCCACTTAACCTAACCAACCGGGTTAAACAAACAAATCACAATGATACAGACACTTTCTCCCCTGCCGCCTTGCTTTGCTTGGCCCCCTCGTCTCAGTTAAAGAGTTCCAAAAATATGCCGTGGCGGCAGGGCAGGGCAGCTGCAGACGACATGTCCCATGAAAGCACCTCTTTCCAAACAACACTCATTGAGTGTGGGTGGGTGCAATCAGAACGAAAGTTTTTTTATGCTTATATTATACCCTTCTAAACAATACCGTCAAAATCGCGATTTTAAGTTTTTTAAACTTCCGTCTTTTATGTTTTTAGGTCAACAATACTTCTATCTAGAATTGCAATTTTTCCTAACTACTATAGTCAAAATTACGGTTTGAAATTTGACAATTTCTGCTTTTACACATTGCTAAATCATCAAAAACACTTCTGGATAGATAGAATCACGCTTTCGAGTTTTATAAGCATTGCTCCCGAACATCTAACTCCACTATTCCATTTCAGGCAAAATCGTGATCAGCTTTCCAATCCTTTTTGATTTGCTTCCTTGGTCGGGCACCTAAAAATCTCAATAAACATCTCTTGCTTTTCCCTAATTCAATTCTCAGGAAGATGCTTCTCTTTCTCATCACTATACTACCACCCGATGAAAATGACCATCTTCCTTCTACTACTTACCCGTTACTCTGTCAGAACACGAATCACTGTCACTTCCTATCATGCATGTGATGAAAGACCAAGATAAAGGAGAGTGCATCAGGGGAAAAGAAAGAAGAAAAAAAAAAGGCGAGATTGAAATCTGGTTCCCAAAGCAAAATCCCACCCACCCACCCAACACAGCACGCAAGTGGAGTGGGATTGGTGTGGTAATGTAAGCATCATATACCGTAAAATTTCAGGCACATGCACATGGGCATCGATTCTTCCACAAAACTCAGCAGAGAAGTAAAGAGAAAGGCAACGATGGTAAAACACAAAGCACAAAGGAGATGTACCTTTGGATCATGATCATAATACTAATCATAGTAATAATAATAATATTGAATTACAAAAATATTAACAAACCCTGATGAAATAAAGACAACCACACTACTGCCAAGTAGTAAGTAAACACTGAGAGGGAAAGGAACGAACACTGCAAAATGGTAGGCGGGTGATTTAGGCAAGGGGGGAGGGAGAAAAATTGAAAGGCAATGGCGCTCTCGCTACACCTATACAACCAAACCACACAACACAAACTGACCACGAAAAGAGGTTGGTTAGCCTTTACCCCAAAAGTCTAACGTCTGTCTTTTTTGAACCAACAGACCTCCTTTTTTTTTTTCTTGCTACCTTGCTTTTGTGCTCAGATGATATATCTTATAATCTAAGGCATGAGGAGGGAAATACAAGTAGTTTCTATGTCAGAAGCAGCAAACCGATACTTTCGAAACGATGTCATCATCCTCCCTAGGCAGTGAGGATATCGGGTTGCAACCATATGAGTTACCATCTCAATCACAGTTGCAGTACCAAGAGAAGAGCGAACAATGTATGTAAAGAACCGAGGAGGGGAAGAACACGGAACCTATGAAGACGTTTTCTTCCCACTTCTTTGCTGATTTGGCAAAGCTGAGACTTAACTTCTGTATGTCACTGAGTGCTGCGTGTTAACCCGCCACGCCCCATGCTTCTGTCGTGCACAGAAAAACTAGTGTTAGTAACTCTAAGAGGTCACCTAGAAGGCTAGAACTGAAATTAAAAAGTTCAAGAATCACAGCCAAGACAATTTGAGGAAACATTAAACAGAGTCGTGAATGATTATGTGCAAGTACCTTACAGGAAGCACCTGAGCTGCAGAGACGGTGCTTTTCGAGTGACTGAACCGCTTTGCTCTATTTTCGTGTTCTTTGTCTACTCGCATAGCAGCAACCTCCTTCTCCATTGCAGCTACTTCTCTTCTCATCTTCTTTGCCTCAACCTCCATAGCTTTGGTTAATGTTTCTACCTTCTTTGCTAGCATCTAGAGGATCATAAAACACATGTGTCAGTGGAGGATTTTAACCAGAACCGAATCATCAGACTATTAATCCAAAGACAAGGAAAGAGTGAAACCTCAATAGCATCATCTTTATCTTTGAGGCTTTGATCTTTCTCATGACCCGCTTTCCTTAAAGCAACAACTTCTTTCTGCAGCAAATCATACAACATCCCGGGAACTTTATCTTCTGTGTCTGCTGGAGGGAAGTCGGTAGGCTTCTCATCTGGGTTTCCTTTCCAAGTATCTGAAGATTCTGTAACCTTGGGAACATCTGTGGGCTGGTTGAATGAACAATTAGGACTACCTCCATTGAGGAGAGCTTTGCTACCCCTGTCCAGTGACCTCGTGCCGCCGTCAAATGATTTGGATGTTCCTTTAGCATGCTTCAGCACAGCGCTGGTACTAGAAGACAAAGCTCTCTGGGATGATGGCGATCTCTTCGGGAGAAAGCCATTGGATCCATATTTCGAGAGGTTATCAGCTCCGCCCAAGGATTGGCGCCGAGATGGCCCATTACTTGTACTCCTTCCATCTGATGCACTGCGACTACTACTACTACTACTTGAAGATCCTCTCAAGGTTTCTTCCAGAACTTTGAGCCGCAACTGATATTTCTCCTGAAATCACAGAGAATATGTTACTTACAGCATAATCAAATTAAAAGGGTTAATGAGGCAAAGTAGGTAGAAGTTATGGTTATACTTTCAACTGTGCTTCAGATTTTGCAGTTCGTTCAGCTATGTTGAGTTTGTCGCGGAGTTGCTGCATCTCCCCCTGTAACAACAGGGTTGATCAACTTATTATTACTATAGAGATGGAAGAGCTTCATAACCCTAGTGCAATAACGCTAATGAAAGATCCAACACTGGAAGCAAGCAAAGGAAACTCAATAATAACCTGCAAAAATCTCCGCTCTTCAAGCCATTGTTTTACAGGCATCACTTTGTCGTTAGCATCTTTCCATTCATTTGCTACTACTGTTGCCACTCTGTTTGCAGTTACCTTTGCTCGAGCCAGTTCCCGATCTAAGGTTTTCCTTTCCTCCTACAACACATTAGCACATATTATATATTCCAGGATGCTCGAACAAGATGCTACCAGAAGCCATCTAGTGAAAATTAAATGGAGAGCAGAAATCCATGTTACATTCATCTCTTGAACTTTCCGCTGATAATCCCTCACAGCATTGGCTGCAGCACCACCAGCAAGCACTGCCTCTTCCAGTTCCCTTACAGTTTGTGTGAGTTTTTCGACCTCAGCAACCTTTTGCCTATGCATTTTGTCAAGAATCTTATTCTCTTCCTAAGATACAGGAGAAGTGTACATATCAGTGCACAGGTGGGAATACCAACAAAACCGAGTATCAAACACCAAAGTTCCAGCATGGAGATGATCATAAGAAATACCTGACAAATTTCTATCTGCTTCATCAATTCCTGATTCTTATTCTGGAGATCATCCACCATGGAGGCCTTAGCCATGGCAACCTGAACAGTCCTCTCAGCTTCAAGCAATGCAGCTTCTTTAGATTTGGTTAGACGATCCAATGCTTTGTTATCATCTTGAAGTTTAGCAATCTGTTAGCAACAATAAACTGACCAAGTCAGTGAAACATTCAGTAACATGTTTCAGTTCCAAAAATAATGAAGTGGATAAAAGCCGACCTCTTGGCGAGCAAGCTTAAGCTCAGCCTCCAGAGGAGCAAGAATAGCCTCGATTGGAGGCATATCATCATCCTTTTGAGCAGCATGAACTCTTCTAAGAGTAGCTTCAGCTGCAAACTGAGCAGCCATGGAAGCTTTCTTCTCGTCATTGATCTTCTTAATTTCCAGATTCTGCACATGGATTTCATTCAAGCAGTTAGAGAATTATGGCGGCACAGGAGATAATGAAGACGCACAATACATGAAAAAACAATTCCAAGCAATACCTTGCTTTCTAGAAGAGATTCGGTCAATTTCAGCTTTCCATCCACCTTTGAGAGTTCATCAGTGAGCTGGGGAATAAAGGAAGCAGGGAAAGCAGAATCAAAAATCAGAATCAAGATGTTCGACATGACAATACTTAAATAATAAAATCAGAATACGAAAGTTACCGCTACTCAACCAATTATGTGCAAAATCTGGTAACACATACCCTAATGGAATTCCTTTACTCAAATACGGGAGTTTCTATTTTCGGCCAAGAGGGGTTACAATAAAACAGTTTATGCATAGTGATGCAACAATGTGAAAAGCACATTCAAATCATGAAATGCAAAATCAGCACAAACCGCCCAGCAAATGAGTGACTGTTGTGACAGAATGCTACTCAAATCACTCATGAAATTGATTTGTAAAAGACAATTCAACCTTCCTTAGAACTTCTGCACCGATATTAAGGGGCTAAACCACAGCAACTATGAGCAACCATGCTCAATTCTACTTGTACTGGTTCAGGAAATCAGATGAGACAATATCAGCCAAAATATCCATTTCCAAACACCACTAAAAACGATCTACATTTTCATGTAATAGATCACGTCATATGTGTCAATCCCTTGAGAATCAATCCATCAAGAATGTCTTGCAAGCTAATTCGGGATTGCTAGTAGGGGCACACACGATAAGAAGCTCAAACGTGTAATGAAAAGACGAACAAGTACAGCTAAGCTGAGCGGAAGTTGCTTGAAACCAAGAAGAACGAGGAACAAACAGAGCAAGTAATTGACGGAAAGGGGAAGTGGAAGACCTCTTCAACGGCCTTTTCTCGAAGTCGCTCCGATAGCCTCAAGGCCTTGATCTCCGCTTGAGCTTCGCTCAGCTCTCTGTCCTTATCTGGAAACATAAACACCAAAAAGAGAAAAGGAAAGGGACCAAAAAAGCAAAAGAAAATTGTTAATTACGCTTTCACTGAGTATTCCAAACAAACAAAAAAATCGCGCAAAATTAGCGGAGGACACGAAGAGATGAAATCCAGAAGGGAGAGCAGCAGCGGCGGAAGCGGAGTGGGAAAAAAATCAGCTGAGAAAAAGACTAGATCCAACCACATTTCGCACCTCTAACTTCGTTCTCGAGCCGATTGAGCTCGACCTTGACCGGATCCGAGCCGTGAAGCAAGGTCATGAACTCGTTATCGGCGTCGAAGCTCTTCCTGACGGCGGCCGTCCTTCTCCTCGACGAGCTCCTCGGCCCTTCCTTGAAGGATCCTGACACCGTTAGCGGCGGCGCCAGTGGCGGTGCCGTCGAGGTCGGCGTTCCACCAGCATTCGCGGCAGTAAAGACAGAAGCAGCAGGAGTAGGAGTACCGCCGTTAAGGTCCGCGCCTTCGCCGGAAGCGTCCGCCATCTACCGATCTGATCGAAGTTTAGTTTTCTAGCTGCTTCTCCTCCTCCTCCTCCCGCGCCTTTTTTATCGCCCTCACATCCAAATGCGGCAGTAGATCCACACAAAAAAAAATAAAAATTGCCAACGCAGTTTGAGAATGGAAGAAGGAAGAGCTGCCTTCCTGTTGGTTTCTGTGAAGTGGTGCTTGTCGTCTTCTTCTTCCTTTCTTCGCCTTCTGCGTCCTTCCTTCCTTCCTTCTCTCTCTAGCGCTCTATATCTCCCTCTTTTACTCTGATGCTGCTGTTTGGGATATGAAACGAAGTGAGAGAGAGATGAGAATGGGGAATTATATTAAATAAGAAATCTGTCTGTAATTAGAGATGAAAGGAAATTAGAGCTGAGAAACAGTTTAGTGATATAAACCCAGGGAGAGAGCTGAAGCAGCTCGACTTTTTGGGAATATTAGTTTTTTATTAAATTAAATTAAATTGTGGTTTATTAATGTTTTTTGGGTATTATTTATTTAGTGAGAGAGGGATCGGGGAGGGCAAGTGAGGGTTGTCCTTTATGTGTCGATTTTTTTGTTTTTGTTTTATTTTACAATTTTGGACTTACTGCGAGTGGTTAAAATTAAAAAAGAGTGTGGGTGCGGTTGTGTTTGAGGAAGAAGAAGAAGTAGAGAGATTTAAATTCGGAGGAAAAGTGGATATTTAATTATTTATGCTGGGATTAATTTGGGGGTTTGATTTAATTATTGTAATTAATGGTGGGGGATTACTTTAATAAATTTGATTCAAGGAAGGATTGGGAGGGAAGCAGGATTGGCAGACGCTTTGCTGTTAACCACACTGTTCCTTCTGCTTGCGCTTGACTAATGACTCTGCCTCTCCGTTCCGTCTCATTCTTCCTTCTTTCCCCTTTAATTTATTTTTGTTATTCTCTGTCAGATCTCCACCTCCTCTTCTGCTCCTCCTCCATCTGTTCTCTTTTCTTTTCTATCGTCTCCATTTCTTCTTTGATCAAAATTGGTTCAAAGCACTGCGCCACCAGCTAATTGCTCGTGAATCAGACCGGACGACTACCAAACTGAATCATACATGAGCGGAACTGAAAATGCTCAAGGTCCATCATCTGTGAAGACTCTTGCTAAGGAGATTTCATTAGATGAGACGGCTATGGCCGTCGATTTGGATTGATTTATGGACCTGTTGGTCGACTGTGGGAAGACTCATCATCTTGTTATGGTTATAGTGCTTTCCTGGAATTGTAGGGGTGCTAAGGGCCCGTTTAGTATTGTTGCTTGTTTTTATTTCCTGTTGTGTTTTAAGAAATTTGGAAAACCAAGAAAAAAATCGTGTTTAGTTGGGTTTTTATTTTTTGTTGTGAATCAGAGTTGCACAACAAGGCACAAATATGAGAAACAACAATTTATAGCTTTGGATCTGATTCTTAAACATGTTGCACACGGGATTCCGACTGGTTGGGCGCTTAATTTCATTAAAACATACCAGTTTTCGAATCCCCATAGAAGCAAAAAAATTTCTTTTTTTTTTTAACACCACCCCCAAACCCTACTTACTTCAGCTGCCCCCAACCTCTCCATTTTCTCTCGAACACAGGCGCCGCTCTTCCCCTCCAGCCATACACGCCGACGCCTTCTCCCCATTCCAGCCATAAACCCCGACCACCTCCGCGCCTCCCGACCGGCCGCCTTCGCCCTCCGACCCTCCGCCTCCGCGCCTCCCCTGCTCAACAGCCGCCGCCGCGCCTCCACTGCTCAACAGCCTCGCCCGCCCAGCCGCCCGCCCAGCGTCGCTGCCACTCGGACTCCCCTCTTTTTTTCTGGTTTTTAGTTCTTATAGTAGTAACTAAACGCGTTTTGTTTCTTGTTTTCAGCTTTCATGATTTTTCAGATTTATCAACTAAACAGGTTTGTGTTTTCTGTTTTTTTACTGTTGTGGTTGTACATCTGTTTACACAACACCACTGCAACCACAACAGCAACAAAATGATACTAAACGGGCCCTAAGCATCCAAATTTCAAGTCTACCTCTGATTTGTACAAAGCTGAGAATTCACCTAGAGTAGTCTGCATCCTTAAGCCTCGCATAAGTGGCGACAAAGCCATTGAGGTGATCAAAACTCTCGGGTATGGCAGATGAGAAGTGGCGGATGCACTGGGCTTCAGAGGCGGTATCTGGGTCCCGTAGGAGAGCAACTATGTGCAGCTGAAGTTGGAGGACAAGGACAGGCAATTCATCCACCTCTCTTATCAGGTTGTTGGCAAGGAAAATGGATTCTTGACTGCTGTCTATGCGACTACGCCCGTCTAAACGAATATGAAAGAGGTGCTCTCTGGTCTTCAATTAGGAGCATTGCTAGGAGTATGGAGAAACCTTGGATGCTCCTGGGTGATTTCAACTCTATTTCGCATCCGTCTGAGAAACAGGGAGGAGCTGCTTTCAACCCCTCTCTAGTGAAGGCATTTAATGATTGTATCAAGGATTGTGGATTGGTGGATATAGGGTTCATTGGCCTTAAATTCACTTGGGCAACTAAGAAATCAGGACTGAAGGAAAGGCTTGACAGGTGTCTATGCAATGTTGAATGGATTCAGAGATCCCGGATACGACTAACTTTCATCTCACTAATCTCAAGTCTGATCATTGTCCTATTCTGGTCAGGGATGTGAAACAACTCAACAAAACTCCCCTGGTGAGAAGGTTTCATTTCCTTGCTATGTGGCTTGCCCACAATGATTTGTGTAATTTTGTGTCTTCTTCTTGGAACTATGGTTCTGGTTTCATGCCTTGTCTGCAGAAGTTGACGGGTAAACTCCAAGAGTGTAATAAGAAGGTCTTTGGTAACATCTTTAGAAGGAAGAAGAAGCTTCTTGACAAACTTGGAAAGCTGGAGGCCTTTAATGAGAACTACCCTTCGAGAGACTCGTTTCGCTGAATCAAGAAAGAGTCACTAGAGAAGAGCTGGAACTCACCTTATGGCAAGAAGAACTTTTGTGGAGGTAGAAGTCAAGGGCTAAATGGGTTGTGCAAGGCGATAAAAATACTAATTTCTTCCACACAAGTACCCTCACTAGAAGGAAGAGGAATCGAATCACCAAGCTCAAGGATGAGAACGACCTTTGGATCAATGGTCCAGATGAGCTGCTTATTCTTGCAAGTAGGGCTGAAAATTGTCCTGACCCGACCCTGTCCCGTTCCTGAAGGGTAAAGATGTATAACTGTAATGTCCCGTGCATGTCTCCTTCTTGACCCTGTCTGACCCGCAAGGGATGGAACGGGTCGGGTTAGTGGGTCGACCCTAATTTACACACTACCTTTTTACAGATTACGTTTTGGTACCAAAATTATTTTTCTTACAATTTAGTACCTAAAGTTTAATTTTTATACAAATAAGTCCTTAAATTTTGGTGGTAAAATTACAATTTGGTACCCAAATTTTTTTACTTTTACAAAGAGGTCCAATGTGGTATGGGATATTTGTTGTTGCTAAGGGTCACAGGATCAAACAGTGACCCGTCCCTAAGTTGTCCCGACCCGTCCTGACCCTTATAGGGTCAAAAGCTGATCCATCCCTGAATTGACCCTATAGACAAACTGACCCGTCCCGACCCCATGGACGGGACGGGATAGGTCAATGGGTTTTTACTTTTTAGGGTCAAACTTGCACCCCTGCTTGCAAGGGAGTATTTTGTGAAATTATTTACCAAAGAGGAACATGATCCCTTACCTTCCATTGATGGTGATTTTCCCATTGTTGTTGCTTCTAGGCTTGCATTTTTGGGATCTCAACCTTCTGTGGAGGAGATTAGGGGTGTTGTTATGCGCAAGGGAGGCTTGAAAGCTCCGGGTCCCGATGGTTTTCATGCTATTTTTTACCAAAAACTTTGGGATATTGTAGGATTGGATTTTGCTAACTACATTATCTCTTATTTCAGGAATTCATATCTTATTAAAGCTGTCAATACGACCTCTTTGGCCTTGATTCCTAAGATTGATTCTTCTGTGTCTATACCTCAATTTAGACCAATTAGCTTGTGTAATGTGGGGTATAAAGTGGTTGATAAATGCATTGCTAATAGGCTGAAAAGTTTAATGCCCCACTTTATACACCCCAACCAAGCTAGTTTTGTTTCCAAGAGACATATTACTGACAATATCCTGATTTTGCAGAAAAATGTTCATACAATGTCCCTCAAAACGAATAGGAAGAAGATGATGCTTCTCAAGGTCGACCTTGCCAAAGCATATGACAGGATTGACTGGACCTTTCTTGAGGAAACTCTGAGACTTACTCATATTCCGGAGGATGGAGTCCGTCTGATTATGGGGTGTGTTACATCAACTGAACTGCTTGTTCTTTGGAATGGCGGCACAACAAAGGTATTCAAACCGAGTCGTGGACTTCGTCAGGGATATCCCTTATCGCCCTACCTTTTTACTTTGTGCATTGAACGATTAGGACATTGCATTCATAGAGAGGTCTTGGATTGTAACTGGAAACCTATTAGACTGCCTAAGGAGCCCCTCCCCCCCCCCCCCCCTTCTCAGTTGTTCTTTGTCGACGACTTGGTTTATTTTGGTGAAGATAATCTTTCACAAGCCAATCTGGTTATGAAATGTATGGAGAGATTTTGTGTTGCATCTGGTGAACAAATTAGTAAAGATAAGTTGAGAGTGTTTTTCTCTAAGAGTGTGCTTAATAATTGTTGTAAGGATATCTGTAGCTGCCTCGGATTCAAGCTACCATGGATCTTGGGAGATACCTTGGTGTTCTCGTGCTCCATGGTAGGCTTACTAGATTCACTTATAAGTATATCCTTGAAAAAATTGACGGGAAGCTCTATGCTTGGAAAACAAATACTTTGTCTCTTGCGGGTAGGGTCACTTTAGCGACAGCTGTGCTTAGTGTTATCCCATCCTTTGCCATGCAAACCTCTCCTCTGCCTGCTTCTGTTTGTGATGAAATAGACAGGAAGATTAGGGAATTTGTCTGGGGCTCCCATGTCGGGAAAAGAAAAACGCATCTGGTTGCTTGGGATACCATTTGCAAACCTAAGGAACAAGGAGGTTTGGGTTTAAAAATGGCTAGGTCTCTTAACACTGCTTTATGGTGAAAATTGTTTAGCAAATGTTGAACAACGAGTCTGATTTATGGGTGAAAGTACTACAAGGGAAGTACTTTAACCATCGTGATGAGGATATCATCTTTATGAAGAAAAGTAACCACTCCAATCTTTGGAGGGCTGTTGTTATAGCTATGTCCCTCATGAGAAGTGCAACTATCTGGAGTGTGAGAAATGATCTTACAACAGCATTTTGGACCCACCCCTGGATTGATAAGGGGGGTATCCTGTCTGATTGGCTTTTGGATGATAGTATTGATGTGGATATTCACTCTTCCGTGGCTGATTGGGTTACTGTGTCTAGGGAATGGGACTGAGATTGCCTTAGAACACTGCTCCCTAATGATGTGTTGTCTCTAATTGC